TCAGATGAGAGTGAAACTATAAGGGAGGAGAAATAGGAAAGAAAACTTGAAAGATGCATTATCTTGGATGCCTCATGTTCACTCGTTGAAGACCAATTATACCTTGAGATCAGCAGAAAGTTGTGAACAAGTTGCCTTTCTGCTGTCTTTGTTGGACAATGAGATTTTGTGTCTGAGTTGAAAAAGATAACCCTGAGAAAGATAGGAATACATAAAATATTTGAACTTCAAAACCACATCTGGTACTGTGACAATTAGGGAGCAACCTGATCTTATAGCTTGGTTATGTATTGATGTGGGGTATTAGAGGGATAAAAGAGACACAAGGCAATATTCAATATTTCAGAAATGAGAAAGTAACTAGCATGCATAAATTGTGTAGAAAAGCTGGCTGATAAGACAGTAGATAAGCAGTGAGAACTTTCAAAGCTGAGATAACCAAGGTACAAGATTCAATAACAAAGTACATATGTATAGCATCTTTCATGTCAGGTGGATGTTCCAAGGTGCTAGGCAGTCAAGGATTTGGACTTGAGCTGGGGGTTGAGATAAGGAGGGGTGGAGGGGTAGAGGTAGGATGGTGGCCAAAGACACGGTCAAAGAGGAGGGTCTTGAGATGGGCAATCAGTGTCTCGGACTCGAGCTGTGGGTCAAGATAGGAGAGGGTGTAGGGCAGTGGGGGAAGGAGGGTGATCGAAGGCACTGTCACAGAGGAGGGTCTTGAGATGGGTCTTGAAGGAGGCGAGGGAAGGGACTGTGGGAAGGAGTTCCAGTGGGTGGGGGCAAATTGGCTGAAGGCCCGCCTGCCAATGGTGGGGATGTGAAGCAGACTGGAGCCCACGGAGTGGAGGGAGCTGGTAGGTTGATAGGGGGTTAAGAGGTTGCAGAGGGTGAGCAAGGCCATGGAGGGCTTTAAAAGCGAGGACCAAGATCTTAAACTGTATCTTTTGTGTGATGGGAAGCCAGTGCAGTTGGGTAAGGATGGGGGTGATAGGGTGGCGGGGTTTGGTGTAGGAGAGGACACGGGCTGCAGAGTTCTGAATGATCTGCAGCCTTTGGAGGGAGGAGTTGGGCAGGCCAACAAGCAGGGAGTTTGCATGGTCGAGCCTGGATGTTATGAATGCACGTATGAGGATCTCGGTGGCCTGCTGTGTGAGACAGTGGCGGAGTCGGATGATTTTGCGGAAGTGGGGGAAGGCAGAGAAGGTCATGGTATGGATGTGGGGTATGAAGGACAGTTAAGAGTCAAACAACAACAACAACAACAACAACAAGATTCCATTTATAGAGCGCCTTTCACGTCAGGAGGACGTCCCAAGGCGCTGCACAGTTGGGTCATGACCCGAGCAGAATGCTGAGGTTCCATATTGGCCCTGTGAGATGCAGAGTGCATTCATGGATGGTGATGCTGTCAGTGCTTGAGGTGTGGAAGCGCTGATGGAAGCCAATCAGGAGAGCCTCGGTCTTGTTGACGTTCAACTGAAGAAAGTTATCTCTCATCCAGGACTTGATGTCTGACAGACATTCTGTTAGGACAGCAGTGGTCCTGGAGTCGAGGGTGGAGGCATACAAGTAAAGTTGGCGTCATCTGAATACATGTGGAAGTTGAACCCATGTCTGCAGATGATGTCACCAAGAGGGAGCATGCAGATATTGAAGAGGAGAGGACCCATGACAGAGCTCTGAGGAACGCTGCACAAGATGGTGCAGGGGCTAGAGGAGAAACCATTTGTTGAGATGAAGTGGGGATGATGTAAGAAATAGGATCTGAACCATTCAAGGACAGAACCATGAAGGCTGAGGTGAGAAGAGAGGCGGTGGAGGAGGATAGAGTGGTCAACAGTATCGAGGGGAAGCATGTAGATATTGAAGAGGAGAGGACTAAGACAGAGCCCTGAGGAATGCCACATAATATCACGTTTGCCCACAAATATACAGTCAATTCACTTTATAGTGTGTTCTGTGAAGCGCTTTGGGACGTCCTCCTGACGTGAAAAACGCTATATCAAATGCAAGGATTATTATTATTATTATAAGATGGTGTGAGGACAGGAGGAGAAGCCTTTCATGGCCACAAAGTGGCATATAAAGTAGGCATATGCCTACATCAATAAAGGGGCTACTGCTAAAACTAGGGTTCCTTTGATGACTAGAAAAATTAAAATGAAATAAGACTTACAAGAGAGGCATACAATAAATATAAATAATACCAAAGAAAATCAGGCAGTGTATAGGAAATAAAGAAGGGAAACAAAATAGCTAATGAAAAGGTAGGGCCAATTAAGCATTAAGCAAAGTCTAGGGTAGAAAATTAAGGTATTGCAGAGATACTTAATGAGTATCTGGCCTCAGTTTTTACAGAAGAGAGAAATAGTGAGGTTATAGAGTGTACAAGAGGAGAATGTGCAATTGGAAGTGAGAGCTATAGAGAAGGAAGTGCTGCTAAAGAAACTCAAAGAGGACAGGTCACCAGGGCCTGACGGCAGCACCTGAAAATGTTGAAGGAGTCGGGGAGAAAATAGCCAATGTTTTATAATTTTTCGAATATCTTTGGATTTGAAAGTTGTGCCAGGAGACTGGAGGATAGTTAATGTAATGCCTCTGTTTAGGAACGGAGAATGGGAAGAGCCAAGTAATTATAGACCAATTGATCTTAATGTTCATAGTTGGCAAACTTTTAAAGGTTATAATAGGGGATAATATTAAACCAAATGTAAGGATTATGTTAATATAAATAACCAGTTGGAAATAAATGGGTTGATTAAAGACAATCAGCATGGATTTGTTGAAATCAAGTCTTGCCTGACAAAGCTAAAAGTTTTTTTTGATAAAATAACCGAGTAAATAGTGAAGGCAATGCTGTGGATGTAGTATACAATACAAAATTACATCAGTAAAGTGCATTTCACATCGGGAGGACTTCCCAAGGCGCTGAACAGTCAGGAATTAGGACTCAAGTGGGGGGTTGGGATCAGGGAGGGTAGAGATGGTGGGGTAGGAGGGTGGCCGAAGGCACAGTCAAAGAGGAGGGTCTTGAGGTGTACCTTAAAGGAGGCAAGGGAGGGAGCGAGGAGAAGGGAATGTGGGATGGAGTTCCAGAGAGTGAGGGCAGAGAGGCTGAAGGCCATAGTATATATGGATTTTCTGAAAGCTTTTGCTAAGGTCCTGCATTGGAGGCATGTTAAAAAAGATTTAGTGCGAATGGTATTAATGGAAAGATAGCGACATGGATAGAAAGTTGGTTGGTTGAAATAGGCGGTGGGAGCACAGGGTTATTTGCAATGGAGAAATATAAATAGTAATGTCCCCCAGGGGTCAATGTTCAGACCACTGCTGTTCTTTTATATAAACGATGATCTGGATTCTGTATCAGGGACACAATTTCTAAATTTTCAGATGACACAAAAATAAGGAGTGTAACTAACATTGTAAGTAACTTCAGGGGGACAGAGACAGATTAGTTAATTGGGCAGGGAAATGGCAAATGGGATTTAATCCACACGAATGTTGAATTATACATTTTGAGAGGAAGAAAAAGGAGCACACGCATATGTCGGGTGGTAAATATTAAAAGGGGTGGAAGATCAAAGAGACTTGGGAGTTAATGTACATAAATCCTTGAAGGTGTGAAGCAGGTATGCAAAGCTGTTGAAAAAGCTAATGAAACTCATCAAGGATAACTTATCAATCTTTCCTTCAATACTCCAGCTATTCAAGTACTTTGTAGTTTTGAGATACTGTACTTTGAATAACTAGTCTACTCTGATAAGTAGGCATTTGAGCCATTACTCTTGGGGTGGCAAGATATCAGAGTTTCTCTGCAGGAGTGTATATTATTAAAAGCAAAGAGGTAATGCTAAATTTATATACATCATTAATTAGACCGCAATTAGAATATCGGTTTCTAGTATTGATCACCCCACTCAAGGCAATAGAGGGAGAACAGAGAAGATTTACTACGATGCTACTAGGGATGAGTGGTTTGGCGGATGAGTGGAGATTGAAGGAACTGGGACTTTTTCCACAGGAAAAAAAGTTGAGGAATGACCTGGTCTTTAAAATTACAAGGGGCTTTGATAAAGTCAATAGGGAGAAATTATTTCCACTGGTTGGTCAATCAATAACTAGAGGGCATCAACTTAAGATAATTTGTAAATAAGCAAATGGAGAGGTTAGGAAATTTTTTTTTATAGACAGAGAAATTAGGACATGGAATGCCCTGCTGGGAGCAGAGGTTGAGATAAAATCCATACTGGCCTTCGAGCAGGCACTCAACAAATACTTTAAAAAGAGTCAGCTACAAGGTTATGGGGAAAGGGCAGATAAGTGGGACTGAAAGGATTGCTCAAGGGAGCCAGCACAGACACAATGGGTCAAATGGCCTTCTTCTGGACCATAAATTTCTATGGTTCTGTAATAGATAGCAGTGACAGAAGAACTAACTCAGCCCAGAAACGTACCTGGCATGATAAAAGGAAAAAAATAATACAAGGGCTTGGTTAATAAGATAATCTGGTAATAAAATGGTTTGTTGTCACCATGGATAATGTGAGTCATAAATATAACTTGTGTTGCTAACATGGTAAATAGTAACAGAGGGACTAATAAACAGTGCTAGTGATTTGAAAGTCATGTGACAGAGGATGACCTTGACTGACAAAATTGAGCAAGACTCACATCGGTTGCTAATATGTATGGTAATGATTGAAACCAGCTTGCCTTGGGCTAAGTTGCATACAAACAGTGATGTATCCACTAAAATGGATCAGAACCATAATTGGTTGGGTGCTAATGAACTGTAATCATACTTCTTGACAGATTAAGCCTGTTCAGTTTATCCCTCTTTCATTTGTTGGATTTTACATGTCTTGGAGCACAAGTAGTTGGAATGAAGAAATTTGTTTCAGTTATAGAGCAGCTATTGGCACAATTCTATGCATTCCTTTATATTGATCCTGTTGACAGATGAGGTAATCAGGTGATGGTATAGTTGACAGTGATTTATTGATTACAGCAAATCTTAACATTACTCAATGTGCTACCAATGTTTAATAACTTACTATTGATTCCAAAGTCACACCTTTCACAATCAAATTAATAAATCTATATGTTGTAGTAAAACACCAACAGGACAGATCTTTAATTTTTTTCTGTCAAAGATAGTACATGATGGTGGCTGTTGTATATTTGATGATATAAAACTGAGAAAATCAGGTGGTGTTATTGAACTCAATTCCATCCTATCCTTTGAGACTGGAGTTACATTATGACTTATTGATCACGCAGATCTGTGATTGTTTGAAAATATGTTGAGTTATCCGTGTAGTTCACAACAGCATGACTTAGTGTTAGGTTTGGCAAAAATATGACATAAACTTAATTGTGGGATCTTCAGCAGGTCTAGAGACTGGAAGCCACTTGTAGTCCAGAGTTTGGGTAGGAGGGTCCAAGCTCCATGTGTAATGGCTCAGCAAATATCTGGCAGCAGCCTTAGAGAAAATCAGACATAGATCAGTTTCATCAAAGACTAATTCATGGGAAAGAATAATACAGTAACAATGTATACAATGAAGAGAAGTGGGTGGGTTGGAGCAACAGTGCAGAATTGTGTATGCTAATAAACTGTCAAATTTAGGATTGTCTCACTAGGCTCTGTATAACGAATTTACAATATTAGCAAAGGAACATTTTTTTGGGGGGGTGGGTGTCAGCTGGGTATCTGACACATGCAGAAACCCATCCCTATGCTTCAGAGTATCCAAACCAAGCTGAGATTTCCCTGCACCCCACCTATACATGGAAATCCCAGAGATAGATTGTTGGAATGGAATGTGCACTCTCTCCCTGGAGGGACACATCCTGCTTACCTGATTCCGGAAAGTATGCAATGGTGTGGTCTGCCCTTCCAGGTCCTGCCATCAGCAGTGCCCTGGAATACTGTGGACCCACCTGGCTCAGGAACTGGACTACCGAGACACTATAAGGACTGACTCGATTCCAACATTCCGTTGCCAGGCATGTCACCTTGGAGCCAGTTCAGCTCCAAGGAGACCTCGCTTACCTCCCCCCAAGGAGATTAGTCACTAGTTGGTCGTTTGACATCCGACAAGCCAGGTTTGCGAACTCACAAGGTGGTCAACACAGGAGTGGGATAGTGTCTCAGGACGCTTGAATAGGCAGACATCTGAGGATAACACAGTGCTCTCCTGGGGTGCTGGAGTGTCAGTCGAGATTATGAGCTTCTCCTGACATGAAAGGTGCTATACAAATGTAATTTGTTGTTGCTGTTATAAGATTTCATGAATTATGTTAAATAATTAAAAAATTACAGTCACCTAATAAAAATGCAAACTCATGTATTTCATAAAACTCTAGATGAACACCAATCCTAACTAGAAGATCAGGAAAGTAAATGCAGAAGTGGAAAACAGTTTTAAAATTTGAATTAGTCACCCCAAGATTTCATTCACAGTACAGTATTTATAGTGTAACTACAACAAGAACACATTAAACCTATGTGTCACTTGCATACAAATATATTAAAGTGCAAAATTGTCCATGTGTTGAATCCTGCTCTGTTGCATACCAAATGCTATAATGTACAAAGTTTTCTTGTGGAGAAAAAGGCTGCCTGCCAAGGCCATATGATTAAAATAAAAACATATAGCACCTTCAGAACAAACCTCTCAAAATGACTTTCAAAGACAATGGAAACCATCAACCAGGGAGGAGGAAGGAGTTTGGGGGATGTTGAACAAAGGCAGTGGTCAATGAGAATTTTGTAACAAATATTTGTCATTTTGCAAAGGTTAAGGCAGAAACATTATGTAAAATGTAACATCAAAATCAGAAGCTTGAATATTACTTGTCCTTAATCTATGAGGGATTCCATACAAGTCCTGGAGTCCTATAGGTTAGGGGTTAGAGCACTCGTCTCGCAAGCGAGAGACCAGGGTTCAATTCCTGACAGGGCGAAAGCTTGGGCAAGTTTCCTTACTCCACATGCCTGATAATAATCCCTCAAGAAAAAAAAACACGACTGTTTGTGGGACACTGCTGTGCGCAATTGGCTGCCGCGTTTCATCCACAAATATAGTCAATTCACTTTACAGTATATTCTGTGAAGCGCTTTGAGATGTCTAGAAGATGCCATTCACGGCCTTGCTCCCTCCTACCTCTCCAACCTACTATCCCCCTACCTACCTGCCCGTATCCTCCGTTCCTCTGGCTCTGGTCTGCTCCACGTCCCCCGCCCCAACCGCCCTACCATCGGTGGTCGGGCCTTCAGCCTCTCAGCCCCCAGGCTCTGGAACTCCATCCCCCAGTGCCTTCGCCTTGCTTCCTCCCTTTCCTCCTTCAAGGCCGGTCTCAAAACCTTTCTCTTTGACCGAGCCTTCAGCTCCCCTCTCGACTCTCTTCCCCCTCCTCGCTCCCTCCCTTCCCTCCCCTCACCCTGACCATTTCCCCCCTCCTTGCTCCCTCCCTTCCCTCCCTCACCCTGACCATTTCCCCCCTGCTCGGGTCATGACCCAACTGTGCAGCGCCTTGGGACGTCCTCCTGACGTGAAAGGCGCTTTATAAATGGAATCTTGTTGTTGTTGTTGTTGTTGTTGATGTGATAAGGCTCTATATTAAATGCAAGGATTATTATTATATATAACAAGATACCTTTAAGCATCATAACATTGTTTATACATAATCTGTTATCTATATCAAGCGAACATTTGATACAGCATTTTAGCCAAATATGATGTATGAATAATTAAGAAGAAAATTTATTCCATTGCTTGTATAATGAGTCAATTCTTTTGTGCTCCATTTGAAGCCATTACAATTTAGAAGGAAATATCACAATTTATAAACATATCAAAGAGATAATGCTTTTGTAGCTCTAAACAAAAGTAGCCTACGCCCAATGGATTTATGTATACTGCTGAAAATAAATGTATTTAATAGTTTAAATATGTAATATTTATTTTAGTATTCTCTGATTTTTAATTTTGATATAAAACGTACTTTAAATATTTATTTATGGTTGAATTCTTTTAAAAAATAAATAGCTAGTAAATCAAAGAAAACCCCAGTGGAAAAAACACCTGGGTTCCTATTTAATGCTAGGTGAACAGAGGCGTGTGAAGTAAGGAAACGCTTCGCCCTGCCGGGAATCAAACCCAGGTCCCCTCGTTTGTGAAGCGAGTGTTCGAACCACTAAGCTACAGGACTCCACAGACTGAGTCTGATGCCGTGCATGATCCATGAACCACAACAGCATTGAAAACCCCCACTCTCCTCCCCCCGGCAGCATTGAATCAGCTTCTGAGTGCAACCGTATCATTAAAATATCATATCTTGCAATTTTCACCCCAGGTCTACTGTCTGTATGATATCGGTGGCTTCTGGAAGACCTGTCAGCTATGCAGAGAGCTCCACGTAAGGTATGATTAAAGTACTAGCTCAGACCCAGCATCTGTAAAAATAACAACTTGCGTTTTATCCAAGGTCTTTGACAAGGGTAATGTCTCGAAACTTGGTACAGAGAAATCCCCATCAGAGAGAGTGGGAAAGAATAAGATGACCATAGCCATGCTTGAAGAGTTTTTCAGGCGGCTCTGAAAGACAGATAGAGAGGGGGCAAGTCAGAGGGGTTTAGGAGGGCATTCCAGACAGTAGAGGCATAGTGGCTGCAGGTTGTTGGGGCAGCCGGGATGGGAACATACAACAGATCACAGGTATATGTAGGGGTGAGAGCAAGTAACAATTTGAAAATCAGAATGAGGATCTTGATGGTAGTCAGGAAGTTCTGGTAATGGGCATGCAAACTTAGTGTGGATAAGAATGTGAGCTACAGAATTTTGAATGAGCTGGAGCTTGTGGATGGTACATTTAGAGAGTACATTTGTGAAGGAGGGCATTGAAGAAGTCCAGTCAGGAAGTAACAAGGAAATGGACATAGATCGTCTACCATATATATGATCATGTTTTATAAAATTCTTCTTATAATGTGCCAATCCACCGATTCAGTAACCTTTCACACATCCTTTCTATGTCATACGTCCAAGTCAATGATGGTGCTAACAACAATAATACTTGCATTTGGTACAGTGTTTTTCATGTCAGGAGAACATCTCCAAGCAATTCACAGGATATACTGTAAAGTAATTTTAGGTGAATGCAGCTGCAAGTTTGTGCACAGCTGTCCTTCCTTCCTCATATCTGATCCCTGACCAGGACCGCTTTCCTCCACCTTCGCCACATTGCCAACCTCTAAACATACTTTACATCCAACGCAGCTGAAACCCTCATTCATGCTTTCGTCACCTTGAGTCTACTTTCTCCAATGTCTTCCTTGACTGTCTCACCAGCTTCAACACCACAAAATCCAACTGATCCCAAACTCCACTGCTCGTATTCTCCCATCTGTTCAGGCTCAGCACCATCATCAACACAGTCCTTGTCAGGCTCCACTGGCTCCCCATTGCAGAACTGATCAAGTTCAAGATTCCCACACTCACTTACAAATCAATTCATGCCCTAGTACTTCCCTACCTCTCCAATCTGCTTGCAACACCTCCACCACTCAGCCTTCTACATGGCCCTCATCCCCTCCACTCCACCATTGATTGCCGTGCTTTCAGGAACTATGCCTCGAATCTCTGGAATGCTCTGCCTGAATCCCTCTTGGTGACATCATCCACAGACATTGGGTCAATTTCAACATGTGGATGACACCCAACTCTACCTCTCTGCCTCCACCCTTGACCCTAGAATGTCCGTCAGACATCAAGTCCTGGATGAGAGCCAACTTTCTTCAGTTGAATGTCAACAAGACCGAGGCTCTCCTAACTGGCTCCCATCAGCGCCTCCACACCTCAGGCGCTGACAGCATCACCATCCATGGATGCACTCTCCAAATTACTAGGCCAGAACCACGGCATCTTGTTTATAATAATAATCCTTGCATTTGATATAGTTTTATCCTCAACTATCCTTTCTACCCCACATCAGTGCCATGACCCGCTCTGCCTTCCCCCACCTCTGATACACTGCCCCACTGACTCACACCTCAAGCTGCCGAGACCCTCATACATGCATTCATAAAATCCAGGTTCGACTACGCAAACTATCTGCTTGTTCGCCTCCCCAACTCCTCCGTCCATAAGCTGCAGATCATCCAGAACTGTACAGCTCATGTCCTTTTCCACACGAGGCCTTGTGACCCTATCACCCCCATCCTCGCCTGACTCCACTGGCTTCCCAGCACACAGAGGATACAGTTCAAGATCCTGGTCCTCACCTTCAAAACCCTCCATGGCCTTGCTCCCTCCTACCTCTGCCACTTCCTAAACTCCCTACCAACTTGCGCGCTCCCTCTGCTTAGTGGACTCTGACCTGCTTCATGTCCCCCACCTCACGCGACCCACCATTGGCGGGAGGGGTTTCTGCCACTCTGCCTCCACCCTCTGGAATTCCATCCCGCAGTCCCTCCACCTCGCCTCCTCCCTTGTCTCCTTCAAGACCCTTTTCAAAACCCTCCTATTCGACCGAGCCTGCGGTCAACCTCTTTTGCTCCCTGCCCGATCCCGACCCCCTGCTCAGGTCCGAAACACTGATTGTCCAGCGCCTTGGGATGTCCTCCCTACATGAAAGGTGCTATACAAATGTAATTTTGTTGTTGCATGACTTTAGATCTCATCTGAAGTCCTTCCTCTTTGATCATGCCTACAGTCACCTCCCCTCTCTCACTGGTTCACATCAAGCTGTTCCACTGTTAAGTGCTCTGAAACGCTGCCTGTGAGAAGGGCATTCTATAAAAGCATGTTGCTGTTGAGCTGAATCTGCCAGCTTGTATAATGCTGAGAGTAGTTCCATTCTCCAGCACTGAGAACCCTCACTATCACCCAAAATTGAAAAATGAAAATTACTTTTGTCTGAGTTTCCTCCCCAGAAGAGAAGCTGCGGTGGCAATGAAGACAATGGCAGCCTTGGCTGACTGAAGGCACAAAATATAATAGGAATTTTTTTTGGAAAGTTTCATATATAAAAACTTTAAAAGGCAGATCATATGCATATCTGATAGAACATTCATACTGTAAATGAGACGCTGTCCGACATGAAGTGTTGTGCTCGTTGTTGTAATAGTAAGTACCACCACCGGCCTTGATTGTCTTCTACAGTGGAACAACTAACTCACTCCGTTTCTACCAGAACGGTCGTCACGTAATTAACTGTTATGTATTCATTCACTGCATGGCTAAAATTATACATAATGATAATGGCCCATATGGTTCCACCTACTCAGCTCCATCAAATGCTGTTAACTTGACTTGATCAGCATTTCTAACAAACACTTTCGACAGCTAATCTTCGTCATGCTGCACTTCCTGCTCCCTTCGGCATTACTAATAAAATGAATGACACAAGGAAAAAAAAACTGTTCCAGTGATTAATGTGAGCAGCATTTATGCTGATGCCTTGTGGCAGCAAACCATTTCTCAAAGCCAGATGAAGATCATTGAAAAATGCAAAATCAATTCTGCCGCTCACTGAACAGGAAGAATTCTGACGAACTCATGGGCAAGAGTAAAAGAATATAATACTGTGACGTTGGCAGTTGTACATTTACTACCAATGAACTGGTAACAATGGATTTGCATAGTTAAGTCTGGATGTTATGAATGCGAGTATGAGGATCTTGGCGGCCTGTGGTGGAGCCGGGCAATGAATACACAGGAACATAGGAATTTGAAGCAGGAGTAGGCCATTCGGACCCTCGAGCCTGCGCCCCCATTCAATAAGATCATGGCTGATTTTCTAACCTAACTCCATCTGCCTGCCTTATCCCCATATCCTTTAATCCCTTAGTCTTTTAGAAACCTATCAATCGCAGTCTTGAATATGTTCAAGGACTGATCATCTACTGCCTTCTGGGGTGGAGAATTCCATAAATTCACTACCCTCTGAGCGAAGAAGTGTTTCCTCAACTCTATTCGAAAGGGCTGGCCCTTAATCTCAAGACCGTGATCCTTAGTTCTAGATTCTCCTAATAGTCTCATACTGTCTACTCTGTCAAGCCCAATAAGAATTTTATATGCTTCTATAAGATCACCCCTAATTCTTCTATATTCTAGAGAATATAGGCCTAGTTTACTCAACCTATCCTCATAGGTCAACCCCCTCTTATAATAATAATAATAATCCTTGCATTTGATATAACGCTTTTCACTTCGGGAGGACGTCCCAAAGCACTTCACAGAACAAACTGTAAAGTGTAAAGTGAATTGACTGCATATTTGTGGGCGAACGCGGCAGCCAATTGCGCACAGCAATTCTTCCCAGGAACTAACCTAGTGAATCTACGCTGCACCCCCTCTAAGGCAAGTATGACCTTTCTTAAATAAGAAGACCAAAACTGCACACAATATTCTAGGTGCCGTCTTACCAAGGCCCTATACAGTTGCAATAAGACTTTCCTACTCTTGTATTCTAACCCTTTTGCAATAAATGCCAACATGGCATTATCCTAGTTGCTTGCTGTACCTGAATACTAACTTTTTGTGACTGGTGTACAAGGACTCCCAAATCCCTCTGAACACTAACTAGTCTCTCCCCCTCTAGAAAATAATCTGCTTTTCTGTTTTTACTACCTAGGTGAATAATTTCACATTTCCCCATATTATATTCCATCTGCCACCTTCTTGCCCATTCACCTAGCCTATCTACAATCCCTTTGCAATCTTTTTGTATGATCCTCAGAGCTTACTCTCCCACCCAGCTTTGTATCATCCACAAAATTAGATATCTTAAGTTTTATGTCCTCGTCTAGATTATTGATATAGATTGTAAATAGTTGAGGCCCAAGCACTGATCCTTGTGGCACTCCACTAGTCACATCCCAACAATCTGAGAAGGACCAGTTTATCCCTACTCTCTGTTTTCTTCCCGTTAACCACTATTCAATCCATGCTAATATATTGCCTTTAATTCCATGGGCCCTAATCTTGTGTAGCAGCCTTTTATGTGGCACCTTGTCCAATAGCCCAATCTGGAGACAACAGCTGATCACCACCCACTTGTCTGACTGACAGGTGACCTGGCTGTCCCCCCTCCCTCATTTAATCCTGTTTTGGGGGCTATTTTATTGGGTCCTAGTTTAAAGCTTCTATTTCCAATGATTAAGTATCATTGGTGTTTATGACTGGAAAGAGATACTTATTGGGTACCCAGACACTTAGACCCTAGCATTGGGAATCACAGATACTTGGTTCCTGGTACTGGGTGAGGGGGCAGAGACAGGTTACAGATACCTAAACCTCTGTATTGGGGACCCAGACACTCACATCCCAGCAATGGGGGTTTCAGATACCCTGATCCCACCATTGAGGGACCTCGACACTTAATTCCCAGTATTAGTCATTCCAGTAACCCAACCCCTTGCACTGGCATTCTGAGAAACCCGCTCCCAATATTGGGGAAAATACTAAATTTAAATACAAAATATAAAGTCTGTCTACTACACTTCTCCCCACTGGTAACATCAAAGCAAGGAAAACCAGAATCAGATTTAGAATATATTATTGTCTGGAGTTCTGAAATATGGGACTTAATCCTCATTTTGAGTTGCTGGAATTTATCCCGCAACATAAAGAGTAGAAATAAATACCTTCACGATCATGTTGTTTAGTTCAATGCCAATGCAATTCCTCGGGCCATTCCCAAAACAACATAGAACATTTTCTTGTCCGGCATTTCTGGAAAACAAAACCATTTTGATTATTACAGCTTTTTGCAGTATACTTTCACTTTTCACATAAAACCACATATTTTAGATATAAAACTATAGACAGAAAACCACATATTAAACAGTCCCATTCGGAGTCCAATGTTGTATTTATTTCTCCGTTGCTAATTTGGTTGAATTTAAAGAGTATTTTTCTTGTTTATAATAATCTTTGCATTTGATATTGAGCCTTTCACATTGGAGGATGTCTCAAAGTGCTTCATAAGATTAACTTCATTATTTATGATTATATTTTGAGGCGAACACAGCAGCCAATTTGCACACAGCAGTGTCCCACAAACAGCCATGGAATGATTAACCAATTTTATTTGGGGGATTGTTGGCCAGGACCCTGGGACAATCCCCCTTCTCTTTTTGAATAGTGCCAAGGAATCTGACAACAACAACAACAGTTTGATTTATATAGCGGTTATATCAGGATAGTGTCTCAGAGCGCTTAAAAGTGGCAGAGCTTGACGCCAAGTCAGGGAGAGAAGGGAGGTGACCTTAGGCTGCACAGGCAGGAGGGAATTCAGTTTAATGCAGGATCCGAAGGCTGCTACCTCCGACATTGCAGCACTCCTCCAACACTGCATTAGAGTGTCAGCTGAGACTGTGTTCAAAATCCCAAAGTGTGGCTTGAACCCACAATCTTCTGACTCAGAGATGAGGGTGCATCTAACTGAACAAGGCTGACACCCGTTAGTCAACAAACGTATCTGCATTAAAAAGAATCATTGTATTAGAATACTTTACATTACTTGAATTTAATTTCAAATTTAAATCGCATAGAGGCAACAATCGATAATAATTGATGTACCAAAGGCTTTATGCTATTTTTATATTGTGGTTCTGGAAACTTAAGTCTGGAGTGAAAGCAGAGCTTGTATAACACAACCTCTTCAGGCAAACGATATTCCACGTCCACGTGAAAATCTTCATATCATTGTCCAAATGATATCAGACTATTTTTCCAATTCCCCAAAATACACCTATTGGTGGTTTGCATATATGTGAATATCTATACATGACTGCAATGCTCTCACGATAATGTTAAGGCATCTGCACAAAAACAAATGGTTATTGGGCTCACTTGTCCTGCAACTTGTCACCAGAGTCTCCATCTATAGACGTGTCTTCTGTAGGTAGAGACAATCATTATCTCTATTGTCAGATCTGCATTTGAGCAATTCTGAACTCAGGAAAACCAGCCATTCCAAATCCACAAGTATCCTTCAGCATCTCACCCAGGTGATCTTTCTGAAGTATGACAGGAAGTGCCTGCAGGCTCTATTGCACTTTAGACAGCACCCTGTCATTACCCAACTTCCATCCACACAAAGCGTTTCAATAGAAATCACTAAGTAGGATCAGGAGTGGAGTGTACCTTGTACTTGCCCCATCAAGTTTAATCCTTGTAGGATTAATCCTTGTGGAGTCCTGTAGCTCAGTGGTTAGAGCACTCGCTTTGGAAGCGAGAGACCCGAGTTCAATTCCAGACAGGGCGAAACCTTGGGCAAGTTTCCTTACTCCACACGCCTAATAATAATCCCTCCAAAAAACAAAACAATAATAAATTGGTCATTTTCAATCAACAACTGTTTGTGGGACATTGCTGTGCTACCGCGTTCGCCCACAAATATACAGTCAATTCACTTTACAGTGTGTTCTGTGAAGCGCTTTGGGACGTCCTCCCGAAGTGAAAAGCGCTACATCAAATGCAAGGATTATTATTATTATTATTATTATCCAGCCCTGCATGTCCCCGCTCTGCCTGCTCCACTATCGGCAGTCGGGCGTTCCACCTTTCTGCCCCCACCCTCAGGAACTCCACCCTTCCGCCTGGCCCCCTCCCTTGCTCTCTTCAAAGTCCATCTCAAGACCTGCCTTCTTGAACGTGCCTTTGGTCACCTTCCCTCCTCCACCAACCTTCCTGTGGGACCTTCCTGGTGTGTTTGGTTCAATGTACACGCCGAGTGTGCACACATTGAGCCATCAAGGCTGCATCACTCTGCTTTTAGAAAACATAATTCACAGATCTGTAATTTTAGCATTACAGAAGTATCATATTTCAGAATAAAACTACATAAAATCAGAGTAAAAGCACATAATGTAATTGTAACATGGAAACAATGCAAGTATAAATGGCAGGAGTGGAGCTGAGGTAAAAAAAAACTTTTCAGACTAGGAAATCCACCAGTTTGGCTACAAAGATCAAGCTGATTTTATCTGTGAAAAGGAGCAGTGACCCTATTAGAATGTGGCCAGTTGTATACCAGCCAGCAGAAAATCGAGGTCATAACAATTACACTAGGACTAAAATCAGCAGAAAATAAACAGCTGAACACAACATATAGAGAAACCCTACCGTAAAACTATGCCCTCATCTATCAAAATAATTTAATTTATAAATTTCAGTCTAACGTTTTCATATCAATCACATTTGCACAAGTTAAATGCTGTTTTAAATCCCCTTCTGCCACTGGCAACACAAGGAAGAAGACAGCATGAGGTAATATTGTCTTTGATTCTCTAATGAACCAGACAGGAGCTCTTTAAAGAGCCTGGCATTACTCTACTGATTGTCTGCTGAGCACATCTGATTCAATCTAAGATCGAGCACATCACAGTCAACAAGAGTAACACACTACACAGTGGAGAGGAAATTAAGCGACTTGATTTTGTATTTTGAGTAATAGGTGCTAATTGTATCCTGTGGCCTGGTATCTCCCATTAATCAGCAGGAAGGAAGTGAATGATTAGCCTCGATCTAGTCTCATAGTGTATGATTGGGCTTTCAGATTGTCCAGTTTAATTCTCAAACAAAGGCTAATGACGGGCAATGTGACTGATACTGTTCTGTGGATGACATGTGCTGAATGATTTGTTTCATTTGCTACAAATGCCCCTTCCATCCTGTACTCTTCCTGGGATTGCAAGTCATTGAACAAGTCCCCTCTGTTCTCCGTTCTGAACAAATTGTACATGGTATAAACAGGAATAACGATTAAGATTTATGCTTAAGGATATATTTTCATGGGATGGTTCCAAAAGCATTTGAGATTGATAAAATTGAGCTACAGCACAAAAATAAACAATCTTTGCAGCTTTCAGAAGCTATCCAGAATCTCAGTTAAATCAGAATAAACAGCACTGTGGACAACATAATCTAGTTATAACATTTTTAAAAAACAATAAATGTTAGGAGTGCAGCTGAGGTAAGAGAAACATATTCAGAATAGGAAACAATAATAGCTAAGATCTAACTCCAAAGGAATATAATCAGAAATTTGGAAAATGTACAAAGTGAGAGCTGTATTTTTATAGTTCCTTTTTATGTTCGCTAAATGTAATGACTGTTTTTTAAGGCAAATCTGATAGTCTTTTGCAGCAGCAAAATCCCACAAACAGCCACCAAATGAATGACCAATTAATTTGGAAGATTGTTGGACAGGACACCAGAAAAAACTCTTTTTGTGAATCGTGCCTTTATAATAAATAATAATAATAATAATCCTTGCATTTGATATAGCGCTTTTCACGTCAGGAGGACGTCCCAAAGCGCTTCACAGAACACACTGTAAAGTGAATTGACTGTATATTTGTGGGCGAACGCGGCAGCCAATTGCGCACAGCAATGTCCCACAAACAGTCGTAGATTGAAAATGACCAATTTAATTATTGTTTTTGGTTTTTGGAGGGATTATTATTAGCGTGTGGAGTAAGGAAACTTGCCCAAGGTTTCGCCCTGCCTGGAATTGAACTCAGGTCTCTCACTTGCAAAGCGAGTGCTCTAACCACTGAGCTACAGGACTCCACGAATGGCACTTTGAATCTTTAACGTCCTCTTGAGCAGATGGGACCTCCGATTTTTAACTGAGGGAAGGTAGCGAAGGCAATGTAACACTTCCCAGTAATACACTGTAGTGTATTTGGGTTGAAGCCACAAACCTCAGGCCTAGAGATGAGAATACTACTAAAGGAGTCATGCTGACACATAAGGATCTTAAAGAGATGGGTCAAGATTTCAGGTTTCACTCTTTATAAGAACTGAAATGGTGGGGAACACCTATATACAACACCAATATGTTTAATATTATGAAGTCTCTATGTATAGACTGTTTCCACTTGTTGATGAGTCCATAACAGAACTATAAAAGGTTTAGGGGAACGTCTTTACACAAACCAGTGTGGGAATGTGGAACTAAACAAACAAATTATATTTGTATAGTGCCTTTCACTTTGGGAGGGCTTCCGAAGGTGCTGGACAATCAGGGATTTGGAACTGAGCTGGGGGTTGGGGTCAGGAGGGGTGGAGGGCAGGGAGGGTAGGAAGGAGATCCAAATCGTAGTCGAAGAGCAAGGTCTTGAGATGGTCCTTGAGGGGGGCAATGGAGGGAGTGGGGCAAAGGGACTGTAGGATGCAGTTCCATAGGGTGGAGACAGAAAGGCTGAAGGGCAAACCGCTGATGGTGGGGTTGGGCTGCAGAATAGCTTTTTCGATTTCTGAGTGTGCAGGAGAAATTGCTTAGAATGATTAAACATGAAAAGGCTCCTTAAGTTGTCATATTAAGTTGTCTTCTCTCAGCTAAATCAGGAAGAGAGAATGAATGTCATATGTCTCCTTACTGATTTTATCTCTGCACACTAGATTATAGGAGAATATATTAAAAAAAGCAGATTCCAATAGGAATCTAAGCAGCAGCCAGCTGACATCATTGGCCAACAAGTGGTGTTTATTTGAAGGATTTGAAGCTGTGCACTGAAAAATAATTCACACAATATAGCTTAACGATAAACAGCAGCAATTTTGATAAAATTAGCTATCCCTAACTCTAATAATAATCCTTGCATTCGACATAACAACTTATCATGTTGTCAGGTTTCAAAATGCTTTACAGGATTTTCTGTACAAAGTAGTGTATTTGAAGGCAAATGTCTGCAAGTTAAATAAAATACATAAGTAAGCTG